ATGTAGACACACGAGCTTATTTTACATCAGCAACAATAATTATTGCCGTACCTACTGGGATTAAAATTTTTAGTTGATTAGCTACTCTTCACGGAACTCAACTTACATATTCCCCAGCTATTTTATGAGCATTAGGATTTGTATTTCTATTTACAGTTGGTGGATTAACTGGAGTAGTTTTAGCTAATTCTTCTGTTGATATTATTTTACATGACACTTATTATGTAGTAGCTCATTTTCACTATGTTTTATCAATAGGAGCAGTTTTCGCAATTATAGCAGGATTTATCCATTGATACCCGTTATTTACAGGATAAACTCTAAATTCTAATTGATTAAAAAGTCAATTTATTATCATATTTATTGGTGTAAATTTAACATTTTTCCCTCAACATTTTTTAGGATTAGCAGGAATACCTCGACGATACTCAGATTACCCTGATGCTTACACAACATGAAATGTAATTTCTACTATTGGTTCATCAATTTCATTATTAGGAATTTTATTCTTTTTTTATATTATCTGGGAAAGTTTAGTATCTCAACGCCAAGTTATTTATCCAATTCAATTAAATTCATCAATTGAATGATACCAAACACTCCTCCCGCTGAACACAGATACTCTGAATTACCTTTATTAACTAATTAATTTATCTAATATGGCAGATTAGTGCAATGGATTTAAGCTCCATATATAAAGTATTTTACTTTTATTAGAATTTATTTAATGTCAACATGAGCTAATTTAGGTCTCCAAGATAGAGCTTCACCTTTAATAGAACAATTAATTTTTTTTCATGACCACGCTTTATTAATTTTAGTATTAATTACTTTTTTAGTAGGTTATTTAATATTTATACTATTTTTTAATAATTACGTAAATCGATTTTTTTACATGGTCAATTAATTGAAATAATTTGAACTATTTTACCGGCAATTACTTTGTTATTTATTGCTTTTCCTTCTTTACGATTATTATACCTTTTAGATGAAATTAATGAACCTTCAGTAACTTTAAAAAGAATTGGTCACCAGTGATATTGAAGTTATGAATATTCAGATTTTAATAATATTGAATTTGATTCATATATTTAGATATAATCCCTACTAATGAATTATCAACTGATGGATTCCGTTTATTAGATGTAGATAACCGAATTGTTCTTCCTATAAATTCTCAAATTCGAATTTTAGTAACAGCCGCAGATGTAATTCATTCATGAACAATCCCAGCTTTAGGAGTAAAAGTTGATGGTACTCCAGGGCGATTAAATCAAACTAATTTCTTTATAAATCGCCCAGGTTTATTTTATGGACAATGTTCAGAAATTTTGTGGAGCAAATCACAGTTTTATACCTATTGTTATTGAAAGAGTACCTACTAATTATTTTATTAAATGAATTTCTAATAATTTAAATTCATCACAAGATGACTGAAAGCAAGTACTGGTCTCTTAAACCATTTTATAGAAAATTAGCAATTACTTCTTGTGAAAAAATTAGTTAAATATATATATAACATTAGTATGTCAAACTAAAACAAGTAAGAAAGCTCTAGTCGAGACTGCTCGACTACGAGATCCCCTGAACCCTTGGAGTAATAGCTATTTCAATAATTTTTCGCGTCTTTCAGCTTACACAAGAAACACGCACACACACACACACACGCACGCACGCACGCACACACAGGCATACATACACACATACATACAAACATACACACACACACACATACACAAACAATTACATACATATACACACACAAGCATAAACACGCATGGGCGGCAGTGAGCGCTTACTATGAGAACTTAATTGCTTAATAACTTTTTGTGGACGTACGATCTTCATGAAACTTTCAGATTATGATTATGACATGGATATGCATGTAATTGCCAAAGCACAAGTCTCTAGTATTTGAAATACGCTTTTTACAAAAGTGAGGGTGAGGGGTGAATTTAAGGGTGGGGGGTAAATTTTAACAAAAACCGAAATTGTATAAATTGCATATAGGCATACATTAAAATTTTGGAGACTCTAGCAATAAAGGTGTAGAAGATATAATTTTATAACTGGTTTTCGATAAGGTTTTTTATCGATAAAAAAGATCGGGATGAGTTATCGATTTTTTAATGATAAACTTGATATGCGCGCTGTAATTACGAACATTTAAAAAAAATTTGAAGTCTCTAGCTCTTATATCTTCTGAAATCGACGCGTTCATACATACGGACAGACGGACAGACGGACGGACGGACAGACGGACAGACGGACAGACAGACGGACAGGGCCAAATCAACTCAGCTCGTCGCCCTGATCAAGAATATATATACTTTGTGGGGTCTGCCACGCCTCCTTCTGCCTGTTACATACATTTCAACAAAACCATTATACCCTGATTTCCCATTGAAAATGGGTTCAGGGTATAATTATTAAATTATTAATATTTTTTAATCCCTCAAATAGCCCCAATTAGATGACTTTTACTATTTTTTATTTTTATACCCTGAACCCATTGAAAATGGGAAATCAGGGTATAATGGTTTTGTTAAAAGTATGTAACAGGCAGAAGGAGGCGTGGCAGACCCCACAAAGTATATATATTCTTGATCAGGGCGACGAGCTGAGTCGATTTGGCCCTGTCCGTCTGTCTGTTCGTCCGTCCGTCCGTCCGTCCGTCCGTCCGTCCGTCCGTATGTATGAACGCGTCGATTTCAGAAGATATAAGAGCTAGAGACTTGAAATTTTTTTTCCTAGGTCCGTGTATATCACGCGCATATCAAGTTTTTCTTTATATATCGATAACTACTCCCGATATTTTATTATCGATCTAAAACCCTATCTAAAGCTAGTTATTTAATTATATCTCCTACACCTTTAGAGCTAGAGCTTGCAAATTTTAAATGTAGACTTATATGTATTTTATATAATTTCGATTTTTGTTGTAATTTACCCCCCACCCCTATATCCACCCCTCAACCTCACCTTTGTAAAAGGCGTATTTCAAGTACTAGAGACATGTGCTTTGGAATGTACATACATTTTCACCATATAATTACGCCCTGAAACTTTCATTAAGATTGTACGTATAGAAATTAAATTATTCAACAAATAAATTCTTATAATTTATTTGTTGACTATACAGCGCAGCCCAAGCGCAGTTAGCAGAGCGCATTCTAATACGTGTGTGTGTATGTATGTGTGTCGAAAAGAAGTGCAGACTGATTAGAATATCAGATTAGAGGGTTCAGGGTATCTCCCTAGTCGAGCAGCCTCGACTAGAGTCTTCTTACTAGTTTCAATTACTTTTATTTTATTTTGTTCTTTAAACTATTACTCTTATCTCCCATCTTCCCCTAAATCTAATGAATTAAAAAATATTAAATTAAATTCAATAAATTGAAAATGATAACAAATTTATTTTCTGTATTTGACCCTTCAGCAATTTTTAATTTATCATTAAATTGAATTAGAACATTTTTAGGAATTTTAATAATTCCTTCTGTTGGGCTCAGCAATCATCGCTTCATTGTAATTAAGAGCGGCAGTTCATAGAATATGTTATCATGTAAGAGAATTTGTAACGGAGATCACGCTCTCCCTTTTGCGTTGTCTCTTTCACCCACGCACCGGCTCAGCTTAATCCGCCGGCTCGCGTACATTGTAGTTAGTATGCAATTAACTCTTGTTTAGAGCAGATGCAGTGTTAGATTGACTATTACAAACATAGTAGCGGACAGCACGACAGACTAGTCGCTTGCTCGCGTCTATCACATAAACTCTGTAAACTCTAATAATCGCTAATAAACTAATCACTAAGTAAATTCAATCGTTTAATAATTTAAAGCTATTCGAAAAATCTCGATAGCTCAACATTTGGTGACCCCGACGTGATTCTCTTTCGTTTCTTTACATATTTGCATATATATATTGACAGCATCACATACATACATACACCCGTGAACATAAGCATTGTATATAGCGATTAGTTGCGTGCCGTTACTTTGCCAATTCGCCAGACACTCTTTCGTTCGGTCTGCAATACACTGGCGCCCGTAAAAGTAGTACACATGCGAAAACTTCTGCAATTGACAATCTAATAAAGAATCAACTAATTTCTGAACTATGTCTATGGTTAGTGACTGCGTGTTCTATAGCTTCAATCTATAAGTGATTAAGTTTACATAAGCACAGTGTAATTACATGCTTGCCGTTATTCTTCGTTGACATTGCACTCTTTCACCACGGCTGCGATACGAGCGCGTCCATAATAATCGTACCGGTGTGCAACAATTCATACGTGTATATTATTTGAGTACCATAATATAATTCTTTGCTAGTTTATTAAAGTTGCAAGTACTCTGCTCGACAAATACGACTTATTCCAAGTCTGCGCTATAGCATATATACATTTACTTACTCTTGCAATCGCGCTCGCACCAACGACTTTGAACTCTATCGTGTTGCTCTTGCTGTACTCGTCATGGCGAATTTAGATGCTAGTGCAGTTGCTCCCGAAGATCGCGTGCGGTTTTATAAGCTCAAGGTACAGTCGGTATTTGAACGCGTAAAAAAGCTACAATCCAAGGTCGATTCAGATGCTCTTGCCGATCACAGTGACAGCACTCTAAATGTTCTACTGGAGCATATCGACAAGCTAAGCCACTCCTTTAGCAAGGCCCATGAAAGTCTAGAGGAGCTCGACTTTACTGAGATGTCCAGCAATTTGCGCACTGACTTTGATGATTTAATAATGGTCATGCAGTCAACAATAATGTCCGAAGTGCAAAGTCGTACTGCTCAAGTGCATCATAGTTCCACGTTTAGTCGTCCAAGTGACCCTCCTCGCGCATCCGCTCCCAGATTGCAGGCTGCACCTGCGTTGCCGCCATTAAAGTTACCTACGTTCAGCGGTGGATATGCTAATTGGGCTGATTTCTACTCAATGTTTTCTACAATCATTGAAAGTCGGCCAGAAATCAGCAATATGGAAAGACTTCAGCACCTCCGGTCCTGCCTCGATGGCGCAGCGTTGGATACGGTTCGCTCTTTGGAAATTTCTAATGATAATTATACAATTGCCATAAATTTATTAAAGCAGAGATATGATAACCGACGTTTAATCTTCCAGGCCCACATCGTAAAGATCTTAGGTCTCAAAAGAGTAGAAAACGGATCCATAACCAAGCTGCGTGAGCTATCTGACAGCTTCAATGTCCATATGCGTGCGCTCAGTAGTCTGGGCACAACAGAGCAGATAGCCAGTGCCATGATTGCTCAGATACTGCTACAGAAGCTTGATGAGGCCTCACAAGCTAAATGGGAAGAGAAATTGGACAACTCAGAGACGGCTCTTCAGATACCCAGATATGAAGAAGTCTCCTCATTTCTTGAGCTTCGTTGCCGTACTTTGGAATCGATGAAATTTGCTCTTACAAACTATTCGTCAAGTAAGCCGATGAATTCTTGCAGTAAGGTTGCTACCAGTAGATCAGCATTTCTCGTAACCGGCCACAGTACTCACAGTTGCAATTTTTTGTAATGATCTTGAGCACACAATCTACAAATGCCCAAGATTCGCAAACTTGTCTCCTAGTCTTCGCCTGAATGAGGTCCGAAAGGCTGGCTTATGTTTGAATTGTCTCAAGGGAGGTCATCAGTCGCGACAATGTGGCTCGCGCAGTTGTCGGGTCTGTGGAGTCAAGCATCATACGCTTCTTCATCTCGGCCACTCCAGCACATCGCAGGCAGCAATTCCGCCCCATCAACAATCTTCAACATCAAGAGTACAGACCATCCCTCAGCCCTCAGCACCAGCCACTACTCTCTTATCCAAGGATCGGCACAGCGATGTTGTGCTCCTGGCTACCGCAGTGGTTCTGGCAAGGAATCGGTTTGGCGAGCTTGTTCCTTGTCGTGCACTTTTAGATTCAGGCTCTCAACTACATCTCATTACAGCCAGATTTGCGAATCTCCTGCAACTTAAGAGAACAAAATCGGTGGCATCTGTATGCGGCGTAGGCGACTCCAATGTTGCCATGGATGGCAGCAGCATTTGCCTCACTCTTCAAGCTCATGCATCTGAATATACAACTAGCATAACGGCTATGGTAGCTACAAATATAACTGGCAGGCAGCCCAGTTCTAATGTGAATACGAGCAATTGGAGCATACCGCAAAATATAGTGCTGGCAGATCCAGCTTTCCATAGGCCGCAACGAGTAGATCTGCTTATCGGAGCTAGCCTGTTTTATGATTTGCTCTGTGTGGGACAAATCAAGTTGATGCCTGGACTTCCATTGTTACAGAAGACTCGTCTTGGTTGGGTTGTATCAGGTGGCGAGGCTCGCAACCACAACTCCGTGCTAATAGCTTCAAAGACGCCTTTGGATCCGATTACAGACTCCTGTGCTGATATCAAGTTGGACAGTCTCGTTCGTCGCTTTTGGGAAGTTGAGCGCTGCAGCGATTCCATTGCAAAGTTCAGCAAGGAAGACTCAGATTGCGAAGCGCATTTTGCGAGGCATTACAATCGATTGGCTAGTGGCCAATATACAGTACGCCTGCCTGTTAAGCTTAGTTGTGAGCTTCTTGGAGATTCTTATGAGCAAGCGCGACATCGGTTTCTCAATTTGGAGAAGAAATTGAGTCGTTTGCCGCATATAAAGTCTCAATACTCAGCATTTCTGAAAGAGTATTTTGAACTTGGTCACATGTCACGCGTTCCTCTAAATTCATTCCATCTATGCAGATATTTTCTTCCTCATCACTGCGTTCTGAAGGATAATAGCACAACTACCAAGCTTCGCGTCGTCTTTGATGGATCTGCATCTACAACAACTGGGCATTCGTTGAATGACATTCTAATGTCAGGTCCCGTCATTCAGCCAAAATTAGTCGACATATTATTGCGCTTCCGATCTTATCCAGTTGCACTCACCGGCGATATTTGCAAAATGTATCGTTGCGTGAAAGTACCTGAGCCGGACAGCTATCTACAATGAATTTTATGGAGGAATTCGCCAGATGATGAGTTGGAAGTTTTCAGGCTTGATACGGTAACATATGGAACAAAACCAGCGTCATTTTTGTCTGTGCGCGCCATGCATCAGCTTGCCGTAGATGAAAGGAACGCATTCCCAGTCGGGTCCGACGTACTGCTTCGCGATTTCTATGTTGATGATTTGATTAGTGGAGGAAATTCAGTCGAAGAAGCAAGACTTGTTATGCAAGAGACAGCTGGAATCTTGGCATGTGGGAAGTTTAAATTGAGGAAGTGGTGTTCAAGCCATCCCATGGTACTGGACGGCGTAACAGACTGCGACAAGGAATCGCTCATTAGGTTCAACGATGGCAGCGACATTACAAAGACACTTGGCCTTGCATGGGATCCGGCATCTGATCAACTTCTTTTCTCATATCTAGCTCTGAATTCAGCCTCTAAGCCCTCCAGGCGCTCTGTTCTCTCGTCTATTGCTAGGTTTTATGATCCCCTCGGCCTGGTCGGCCCAGTAATAACGAAAGCTAAAATCTTCTTGCAACAACTCTGGAGGCATAAACTTGATTGGGATGAGAGTCTCCCGTCTGCATGTCACACTGCATGGCTAGACATTTGCAGCAACTTTGGCAATGGTCTTAGTAGTGCATTTCCCAGGCTATCATTAATACCAGGATCGAAGGTTGAGGTCCATGGATTCTGCGATGCCAGCATCGAGGCATACGGAGCTTGCATTTATATTGTATCCAGAGGTCAGCATACCATCAGCAGGTTGCTTTGCTCTAAGTCTCGAGTTGCGCCTCTAAAAACGCTCACGGTTCCCAAGCTGGAACTATGCGGGGCAGAGTTGCTTGCGCGTCTAATGAATGAAGTGGCTCGCTTAGGCATTTTCGCAGGCGAGTTTCATTGTTGGTCTGACTCTACTGTTGCGCTTTCTTGGATCAATGACGAGCCCGGACGATTTAACGTTTTTGTTTCAAATCGCATCTCCACGATACAAGATCTCACATCAGCAATGGAATGGCACTATATACCTACAACACTGAATCCCGCGGATATATTATCTCGGGGTGCATTGCCCTCGGATTTAAATGCATCATTACATTGGTTCAACGGTCCAGGTTTCCTCTGTAAGCCCAGATCTCAGTGGCCAGTCTCAGCACTTCCAGAAAGAACTTCAATTGAGCGTCGAAGAACTATGCTTCTTGTAAAGGACGCAGTCCATGATGTCTCTATGGACTGCAAGTTTGTGAATTCTTTCGGCCGCTTGCAGCGTACGTTTGCATACGTATCAAAGTTTATTAAAAAAAGTCATGGTCCAGGAATAACCCTAGCAGACATCCGGAACGGCACTCATATACTGTTAAGAATGATTCAACGAACACATCTCTCAGACGACATAAATGCTCTTCGAAATAAAGGAATGGTTCCGTCATCCAGCAGTCTAGCCTCGCTGTCACCGTTCCTTGATGAGATTGGGCTGCTACGTGTCGATGGTCGTCTCAAAAACTCAACTTTAAATTTCGATAGTCGCCATCCAATTATTTTGCCCAAAGTTCATCCAGTAACTAGAGCCATCATAATGCATTTCCATCAGCGAAACTTGCACGCTGGTCCCCGAGCAGTGCTAGCGTTGGTTCGTTCCCAATATTGGCCAATTGGAGGTAGAAAAACTGTAGCCAGTGTAATTCAGAGATGCGTAATTTGCTTTCGTGCAAGGCCTCGACTCGTTGAACACATAATGGCAGATCTACCCAAGGATCGAGTCGACGGCTATCGGGTCTTTGGAGTGACTGGAGTCGACTTTTGCGGACCCTTCTTTTACAAGCCTGAGTCACGAAACAAGGCGCCTGTGAAATGCTACGTTTGTGTGTTTATTTGTTTTGCTACGAAGGCTATTTGGTTGGAGTTAGTCAAGGATTTAACTACCGCGGCATTTTTGCATGCACTTCAACGTTTCATATGCACCAGAGGAAAGCCAAGTCAAATCTGGTCGGATAACGCCACAAACTTTCTTGGTGCCCGCAATCAGCTTCAGGAGTTGAAGCGTCTATTTCTGTCAGACACCCACCAGAAAGCTGTGAAGGATTTCTGTTTGGCACACTCAATCGAATGGCATTTCATCCCTCCACGATCACCTCACTTTGGTGGCTTGTGGGAGGCTGCAGTGAAGACAGCGAAGCATCATTTTTACCGATGTGTTGGGTCCTCCGTCCTAACTTACGATGAGCTTCGCACACTGGTTTGCAACATCGCTGCTGTCGTTAATTCACGCCCTTTAGTTTCGATTTCAGAGCACCCATCAGACATAGACGTGTTGACTCCTGCGCATTTCATCAACGGTGGCCCTCCTTCGTCCTTCAGTGAGCCAAACCTGACAGGGCTCAATTTTAATCGTTTGGATGCTTGGCAGCGCGTAAGCTATCTCCAGCAGGTGTTCTGGACTCGTTGGCGGGACGAATATCTCAACTTGTTACAACAGCGAGCGAAATGGAGAACCTCCAAACCTGGCTTGGCTGTTGGCAACATAGTTCTTGTGAAGGATGAGAATCTACCTTCACTTAAGTGGCCACTAGCCAGAATAATCGAACTTATCCCTGGAAGTGATGGCGTTGCACGGGTAGCCCTACTAAAAACTGAAGTTGGCGAGATAAGAAGAGCTACAAATAAGCTGTGCTTGCTGCCCCTTAAGGATTCTGTTGAAGACTAAGTCTTCAACGGGGGGAGGATGTTGGGCTCAGCAATCATCGCTTCATTGTAATTAAGAGCGGCAGTTCATAGAATATGTTATCATGTAAGAGAATTTGTAACGGAGATCACGCTCTCCCCTTTTGCGTTGTCTCTTTCACCCACGCACCGGCTCAGCTTAATCCGCCGGCTCGCGTACATTGTAGTTAGTATGCAATTAACTCTTGTTTAGAGCAGATGCAGTGTTAGATTGACTATTACAAACATAGTAGCGGACAGCACGACAGACTAGTCGCTTGCTCGCGTCTATCACATAAACTCTGTAAACTCTAATAATCGCTAATAAACTAATCACTAAGTAAATTCAATCGTTTAATAATTTAAAGCTATTCGAAAAATCTCGATAGCTCAACACCTTCTATTTATTGACTTATGCCTTCTCGATATAATATTTTTTGAAATTCAATTCTTTTAACTCTTCATAAAGAGTTTAAAACATTATTAGGACCTTCCGGCCATAACGGTTCAACATTTATTTTTATTTCTTTATTTTCACTTATTTTATTCAATAATTTTATAGGATTATTCACAAGAACAAGACATTTAACTTTAACTTTATCTTTAGCTTTACCACTATGATTATCATTTATAGTATATGGATGAATTAATCACACACAACACATATTCGCACATTTAGTTCCTCAAGGAACTCCTGCTATTTTAATACCTTTTATAGTATGTATTGAAACTATTAGAAATGTAATCCGACCAGGAACTTTAGCTGTTCGATTAACAGCAAATATAATTTTTTTTTTTTTTTTTTTTTTTTTTTTTGTTGGGCTGAGGTAGGAAAAAATGCTTTATGCACCGTCAGTCATGTCGTCACTTTGACCGGTGTGTCGGACTGCATAACTGCTTACCGACTAAAAAATCCTCCTGTTCTGGGGCTCAAATCCACCTTGGAACCAGGAGATATCCCGCATTAACCTTCAAGGTGGAACCCCATTGTGTGCTCTAAATGAGCGTTGCCTCCTGTGTGCCTGCGTCCAGGTCATACTTCTTCCGCCGCAGAACCTTTTCGGCGAAGTCATAGACTTTTTTCCAAGCGTCTATGCTGCTGCACATTTGCTGTACTAACGTCTCTACTTTGACTTCACCTACTGTTTCTGCCAGGTCGATTCTTTCTTCCGACCATCTTTTGCAATTGAAGAAGGTGTGTTCTGCATCGTCCATTGCATTTTCGCAGTAAATGCAGCTGGATTCGGCAGTTTTCCCCATTTTATTTAGGTACTTTCGAAAGTATCCATGTCCGGAGAGTAGTTGTGTCAAATAGAAAGACGTTTCACCGTGCTTTCTATTTATCCACTGCTCCAGATCGGGGATTATTTTAGCGGTCCATCTTCCATACCTTTCGCATGACCATCTCGCCTTCCACGAGACTATGGTTTGCTGTCGTATGCTCTTTGCCGCATGTTCTGAGTATTCTCCTCTTTGACGAAGATTCCATATTTTTTTTGCGCTCTTGGGCAAGCAAGTCAACCGGTATGACTGCTGCTATCACAGTCACGGCCGCCCCGGAGACTGTGCGGTACGCCGATGTTATCCTTAAGGCTGCTCTTCGTTGCACAGCTAGCATCGGTTTTCGCCTTACATTCGCCTCTAAGGTATCCGCCCATACTTCACTGCCATATAGCAGTATTGCATTTGTCGCTTCCATGAGGAGTCTCCGTTTTCCTGCCGTCGGGCCGTCAACGTTTGCCATCAGTCTACTCAGAGACCCCGTTGCTGTCGCTGTTTTCCGCGTGGCATACTTCAGCTGTTCCCAGAAGGTAAGTTTACTGTCCAGCCTAACGCCTAGATAGTTCACTGTCCTCTGCGTCCTTATCAGGTTTCCGCTTACTCGCATCTCTATTTCGGTTGGGATCTGCTTCCCCGTGAACAGAAGTAGCTCTGTTTTATGGGTGGCAAGCTCCAATCCTCGAGAGCTGAGCCATGTCTGTGTGCGGATCATGACTTGGGTAAGTCTCTTTTGGGCCTCTATGGTGTTTCTGGCAGTAATGACGGCTGCGATATCATCGGCATAACCAATAAGGAAGGTGTCTTCAGGCATTTCCAGTCTTAGGATGTCGTCGTAGCTGATATTCCACAGGTCTGGTCCCAGGATTGACCCCTGTGCAGCTCCTCCAGTTACTCTGTATCGTTTTGTTCCAGTTTGCGTGGAGTACAGGAGTATTCGATCCTGCAAATAGCTCCTGATCATATTCATGAGGTACTCCGGTATCTGGAAGCGGTGTTCCAAGGAAGTAAGCATATCAGTCCACCTTACGCTATTAAAGGCGTTTTTAACGTCCAGCGTTGCTAACAGAACAACTGGGCGCGAGTATGCATTTCCTCTTTGCGTAGCTCTGGCTGCCTGAACCACTTCATCGATAGCTCCCATTGTGGATTTTCCAGCTCTGAACCCATGTTGCCTAGGGCTAAGTCCTCCAGCAGCCTCTACTGCTGCGAGTAGTCTAGGTCTTATGAGCTTTTCTAAAAGCTTCCCAGCTGTGTTTAACATACACAATGGGCGATAAGCCGAGGGTGTGTTGGGATCGCCTTTGCCTTTGCTAATGAGCACCAGTCTCTGTTCTTTCCACGCTTCTGGGAATATCCTTTCTTTTAGACATGCGTTATACATCCTAAGTAGAAAAGTGGGACGTCCTGATGCTATCACCTTCAGTATCTCTGCCGGTATATTATCTGGTCCCGGCGCTTTCTTGTTCTTCAGGGAGAGAGCTGCAATGTTGAGTTCTTCCTCGGTGAAATCTGGGACTGAACCATCGAGCTCTACGGGTGCTCGCTCATGCGCCTCGTGGATGTGTGCTGGAAATAGTGTTTCCACTATGTGATCCATCGTGTCATCATCCACGTTTGGCACTGCTCCGTAGTTTCTCAGCTTTTTCATGACTATCTTGTAGCCAAGTCCCCAAGGGTCTTTATTTATATCTTTGCAGAGCTCTTTCCACTTGTCATGCTTACTGCGTGTGATAGCAATCGACAGTTCTTTTCTCGCAATCTTGGCTGCTAACGCTTCCGTCGTGAAATTTCCAGAACGTCGTGCCCTTGTTAGCCTTCTTCTACATTGTATGCATACTTTCCTTTTTTCTGCAATATCGTGGTTCCACCAGTACGCCTGTCGTCTACCTCCGTGTTTGCTGTGCGTTTTTGGCATCGATACGTTACACGCTCTTTCCATAGCGGTTAGGCTTCTTTCGACCACTTGCTTCGACGTCAATGTACCGTCGAACTGTCGTTCTCGCCTATCTAATTCGGCTAGTAGTTTGCCTGTATCCACCTTACTTATGTCCCATCTATGAGAAGTCTTTCTTGAGTATGATGGGTGGTTTTGCTGACTGGTATTTTGAAGTCATATGATATATACTCGTGATCACTTCCCGTGAAGTCATCGAGTATCTTCCAGTCCTTTATCCGATCTACGATGTGTTCGGATCCAAAGGTTACGTCAGGTATTGTGCCTTCACATCCCGGCCTATGGAAGGTAGGTCTGCTTCCGCGGTTTGCTACCACTAACCCGGACCTAGCGGCCATATCCATAATTTTTCGTCCTCTAGAGTTAGTAGACGACATTCCCCAGTCCACTGCTCGTGCATTCAGATCGCCTGCCACAATGAAGGGCTGCCGTCGATCCACGAGGAGATCCTCGATTGCATCGAGTTTATTCTGGAAGGTGCTTATGTCATCGCTAGGGGTTAGGTAGCAACTGACTACTGCGACTTCTCTGAAGCGTGCGTAGACGTAGCAGTTTCCCATCTTGCTTTCTAGTGGCTGTTGTCCACTACTACTGGGGGATCCATATGGCCGCAGTCTTGGTGTCGTCCTCTAACCAAACTCCGTTCTCTTTTCGCTTATATTGCTCACTGATGATCACTACATCTATAGCATGTTCTGCTACTATATGTGTCAAAAGTGCATCTGCCGTTTTGCTCCGGTGTAGATTACCTTGGAGAATTTTCAACATTTTGCTGTAGTTTGTCGTGTGCTTGGGCATTTCTGCGATCCCGGCATGTTATCGACAGAAGTACGCCCCGCATCCGTGCAAATGCAGCATTTTGGTGGTTTTTTGCAGTCTTTCATCTTGTGACCTGATTCACCACATCTAATGCAGATGCCACCACCACTTCTGTCCGGTCCTGTGCAGTTGGTCTGCAGATGGCCGACCCCGAAGCATCTGTAGCATCTGCGGATGGGTTGACACATCCTGGGCCTTGCCCTGACAAAACCAATTTTAATGTCTGAGCTCAGCAACGTCTCCGCTAATTGGCTTTCTAAAGTTACAAAGGCCCTTACTTGCTCTCGACTGTTTGGGGCAGTGACTTTTATGCGCAAGTCCACTGATGAATTATCAAGGACTTGTCGCACTGCCTCAGCCACCTCAGACTCTACAGTTAGTGAGTCTAGATCTCGGATCTCCACTGTCGCTGTAGGCTTTAACTCGGCTACCGTAGCTGTTTTTTAACGGTAGCCTTTAGTATTTCAACTAGTTCTGGATGTAACTTTTCCCCTCTGCTCAGTTCTACAAGGAGTGCCCCGGATCGGGTTTTCTTTATGCCTCTCACGTTTGCCTTTTCGTCTTGTTGGATTGTGCTGCGTATGTTTCGTAAAACATCTACGTAGCTTTGTCCACTTTCATGTTTTATGAGGACTGCTTCTGAACGGGGAGGTTTCTTCTTCTCTTTTTTGCTGGTTGTTTTACTACTTTCGGCTTTTCTGCGGGTGCCGAAGTAGTCTTTTCCGCTCTTTGTTTCAAAGTCCCTTTTCTGGTGACTTTTTGCCACAAGTTCTGTTGTCCCTTGCAAAGTTTTTTGCCGGACTCAGACTCTAGGGGGCTAGAGGCTTGTCTCTTTTGAATGGTAGGTGTTTCTACCGTTTCCAAGATCCGTGCGTCTGCTGCTGGTTCTAATTATATAATTGCTGGACATCTTTTATTAACATTATTGGGTAATACAGGACCTTCAATATCATATATTTTAGTAACATTTTTATTAGTCGGCCAAATTGCCCTCTTAATTTTAGAATCAGCTGTAGCTATAATTTAATCATTTTTTTTTTTATTTTTTTTAACTTTTTTAACAAAAAAAAAATTTTTTTTTTTTAAAATATATACATACCCCACCCCCTTTTTTTTTTTTTAAAATAACCCCCCTCCCCCAAACAGGAGCTATTGGAGCTATAACAACTGTTTCAGGAATAGTAAAATGATTCCATCAATATGATACATCATTATTTTTATTAGGTAATATTATCACAATTCTCACTGTTTATCAATGATGACGAGATGTATCACGAGAAGGAACATACCAAGGATTACATACTTACGCTGTTACTATTGGGTTACGATGAGGAATAATTTTATTTATTTTATCAGAAGTTTTATTTTTTGTAAGTTTTTTTTGAGCATTTTTTCACAGAAGTTTATCCCCAGCTATTGAATTAGGAGCCTCATGACCTCCTATAGGAATTGTTTCATTTAATCCTTTCCAAATTCCTTTATTAAACACAGCAATTTTGTTAACATCAGGAGTTACTGTCACATGAGCTCATCATAGTTTAATAGAAGGTAATCATTCACAAACTACTCAAGGTTTATTTTTTACAGTATTATTAGGAATTTATTTTACAATTTTACAAGCGTATGAATATATTGAAGCTCCTTTTACAATTGCCGATTCTGTTTATGGCTCAACATTTTTTATAGCAACTGGATTTCACGGAATCCATGTTTTAATTGGAACAACTTTCTTATTAATTTGTTTATTACGGCATTTAAATAATCATTTTTCAAAAAATCACCATTTTGGATTTGAAGCAGCTGCTTGATATTGACATTTTGTTGATGTTGTGTGATTATTTTTATATATCACAATTTACTGATGAGGAGGATAATTAAACTTTAATTATCTATATAGTATAAAAGTATATTTGACTTCCAATCATAAGGTCTATTAATAATAGTATAGATAATTTTTTCAATTATTTTAACCGCAACAATTATCATAATAATTTCATTTATTGTCATACTATTAGCTTCAATTTTATCAAAAAAAACTTTAGTTGATCGAGAAAAAAGCTCTCCTTTTGAATGTGGATTTGACCCAAAATCATCATCACGTCTACCTTTTTCTTTACGATTTTTTTAATCACAATTATTTTTTTAATTTTTGATGTAGAAATTGCTTTAATTTTACCAATAATTATTATTTTTAAATTTTCAAACTTATTAATTTGAACTACAACTTCAATTATTTTTATTTTAATTCTATTAATTGGACTCTACCATGAATGAAATCAAGGTATATTAAATTGATCAAATTAATAAAGGGTTGTAGTTAAGTATAACATTTGATTTGCATTCAAAAAGTATTGAATTATTCAATCTACCTTATTAAAGAATATGAAGCGATTTATTGCAATTAGTTTCGACCTAATTTTAGGTAATTATACCCTTATTCTTTAATTGAAGCCAAAAAGAGGCTTATCACTGTTAATGATAAAATTGAGAACTATCTCCAATTAAGGAAGTGTGGTGTTCAAGTAAAAGCTGCTAACTTTTTTCTTTTAATGGTTAAATTCCATTTACACTTCTATTTATATAGTTTAAAACAAAACATTACATTTTCATTGTAAAAATAAATTTCTTTATTTTATAAATTACTAATAACAATTCATAGAATGTTCAAAGATTAAAAAATCTCCATAACATCTTCAGTGTTATACTCTAAATATAAGCTATTTGAACTTATAAAAGAATTAAAAATCTTAATAAAATTAAAATTCATAACACAAATAATATCAAATAAATTTTTAATCTATTATTATGTATTAAAAGTAATATTTGTGAATAATTTACTAACTTTTTGTATAAATATTGCCCCCCAAAATATTCTGACCAACCTTGATCAAAACTTTTATAAACAACTTGACCATAATTTAAAGGAAAACAAATAATACCATAAGTTCTAATAAAAGGTATAAATCATATTGAACCTATAAAAACTGACAAGTTATAAAATTTATGAGATTTATTTACTCTATACAAATTTCTTAAAGAAATTATATAACCAATTAACCCTCCTGAAATACAAACAAACAAAGTTAATATTTTTATATTAATAGGTAAACAAACTATATCTGGGGTAGAAAAAATTAATCAATTTAATATACTTCCTCCAATAATTCTTATAAATAATAACCCCAATATACCTCGTAATATAATTCAACCTTCATCATTTAATATATTTAATCTTCTACAATTTAAATCTCCAGTTATTGAATAAAAAACTAAACGAAAAGAATAACACACTGTTAAACCAGTAGAAAAAAAGTATAAAAAAAAAGAAAATATATTAATATTTCTTATTCTTACAATTTCTAAAATTAAATCTTTCGAATAAAATCCGGCTAAAAATGGTATACCACAAAGAGCTAAATTTGAAACATTAAAACAAGCAGAAGTTAATGGTATATGAATTCTTAACCCCCCCCATTAATCGAATATCTTGCGAATTATTTATATTATGAATAATAGCCCCTGCACATATAAATAATAATGCTTTAAATAAAGCGTGAGTTAATAAATGAAATATAGCTAATTTATAAAAACCTATTGATAAAATTCTTATTATTAAACCTAATTGTCTTAATGTTGATAAAGCAATAATTTTTTTTAAATCAAATTCAAAATTAGCCCCCAAACCAGCTATAAATATTGTTAACCCCGATAATAAAAGCAAAAATTGACCTAATAATGAATTTCTTAATAAAATATTAAATCGAATTAATAAATAAACCCCAGCTGTAACTAAAGTAGACGAATGAACTAAAGCAGAAACAGGAGTTGGAGCAGCTATCGCAGCGGGTAATCATGAAGAAAATGGAATTTGTGCTCTCTTAGTTATAGCAGCTAATATAACTAAAACACCAATAATATTTATTTCAAATTCATTTTGCATAATTTCTAAATAAAAAATATAGTTTCATCTCCCATAATTTAATATTCATGCAATTGCTAATAATAAAGCTACATCTCCAATTCGATTAGACAAAGCAGTTAATATACCAGCATTATAAGATTTAATATTTTGAAAATAAATAACTAAACAATAAGAAACAAGACCTAAACCATCTCATCCTAATAGAATACTAATTAAATTAGGACTAATAATTAATAATATTATAGATATAACAAATATTAAAACTAATATAATAAAACGATTAATATTAATATCAGCTCTTATATATTCTTTTCTGTAATAAATTACTAAAGAAGCAATTATTAAAACAAATGATATAAATAGTAAACTTATTCAATCAAATAAAAAAGTTATAACAATTGAAATCGAATTTAATGAAACTAACTCTCATTCAATAAAATAAATTATATCATTTAATAAAAAATTTAAACTCAAAATAAAACATACAATTCTAACAGAAATTAAATTTATAAATGCAATTCTACAAATTGATAAATATTTCATGATCTAAAATGATTTTATCATATCACTAACACCACAAATTAGTATTTTTTGTTAAACTATTTAAATATAATCATGAAAAACATAAGTCACTCTTTAAAATTAATAAATTTAAAGGTAATCAATGTAATAATAATAATAAATATTCACGAATTTTACCATTTCTAAAAGCATAAGCCCCAGAAAAAATTTTACCATGTTGACTAAATGAATATAAATATAAAGTGTAAGCTGCACTAAAAAAAGATAACAAAGAAAGTATAATTATTGAAATTCAAGACCAAGAAACAATTCTATTTAATAAAGAAATTTCTCCTAATAAATTTAATGTAGGAGGAGCTGCTATATTAGCCGAACTTAATAAAAATCACCATAATGCTATTGCTGGTATAAAGTTTAATATACCCTTATTAATTAATAAACTTCGTCTTCCTAACCGTTCATAAGAAATATTAGCTAAACAAAATAAACCAGATGAACATAATCCATGAGCAATTATTAATCTATAAGAACCATTTATCCCTCAATAAGTTATTGTTAATAAACCAGCTAATACAATTCCTATATGAGCGACAGAAGAATAAGCAATTAAAGATTTTAAATCAGTTTGCCGCAAACATACTAAACTTACTAAAACTCCTCCAACTAATCTAATTCTAACTCAAATAAATCTATATTTTAAATTTATTAATTGTATAACACTTAACACTCGCAACATACCATAACCCCCTAATTTTAATATAATACCTGCTAAAATTATAGAACCCGAAACAGGAGCTTCAACATGGGCTTTTGGTAACCATAAGTGAACTAAAAATATTGGCATTTTTACTAAAAATGCTGATATTAAACAAAAATATAATAAATCATAATTAAATATATAATTATTTAATAAATAAAAATTTATAGTTCCTGTTTTATTTATTAAATAAAAAATACCGATTAATATAGGCAAAGAAACTAATAAAGTATAAAATAATAAATAAATTCCTGCTTGTAAACGTTCAGGCTGATACCCTCATCCTAAAATTAAAAATAAAGTAGGAATTAATCTTCTTTCAAAAAATAAATAAAATATAAATAAATTTATTCTTCTAAAAGTTAAAACTAAAAACATTAATAAAACTAAAATATTAAATAAAAATAATTTTTCATAATTATTATATTTATTAATATTTTCTCTTGCTATAATTATAAGGGCACAAATCCAAAATGATAATAAAATCAACCCATAAGATAACATATCTCTTCCTAAAAAATAAGAAATTCTTATCCAATAATTTAAAAAATTATTTATTAATAATAAAACAAAACTTATAAAAAATAATAAAATTTGTACCATTCAAAATATATTATTTATAAAACAAATAGGTCTTAAAAAATAAAAAAAAAAATTAATTTTAACATTATATAATTCTAAATGATTGAAAATAATCATTACCATGAGTTCGAATTATTGAAACTAAAATTGATAGCCCTAAAGCACCTTCACATACACTAAAAGTTAAAAATATTATACTAAAATAATTTTCATAATTTAATAAATTTAAATAAATAAATAAAAAATAAAATAAACTTAATACAATAAATTCTAAACTTAATAATATTGAAAGTAAATGTTTTCGATTAGAAACAAAACAAAATAAACCAAAAATAAATAAAATTATTGGCAAAATTCAATACAAAATTATAATCATTAGTTTTAATAGTTTAATAAAAACATTGGTCTTGTAAATCAAAAATAAGATTTTTTCTTTTAAAACTTCAAGAAAAAAGAATTTCTTTTTCATTAATCCCCAAAATTAATATTTTACATAAACTATTTCTTGATATTCTTCAATTAATTCTTTACTCAATAATTTTTTTAACATCAATTATTTTTATTAATATAATTCACCCATTAGCTTTAGGTTTAACACTTTTAATCCAAACAATTTTAATTTCTCTAGTAACTGGGTTAATAACAAAAACATTTTGATTTTCTTATATTTTATTTTTAATTTTTTTAGGGGGAATATTAGTTTTATTTATTTATGTAACATCATTGGCATCAAATGAAATATTTAATTTATCATTAAAATTAACTTTAACATGTTTAATTATATTTATTCTAAGAATTTTTATCATCTTATTAATTGATAAAAATTATTTAACTTTCTATATTCAAAATAACGAAATACAAAATATTCCTAATATACATTCTTTTTTTTTGAGAAAATTCTTTATCTTTAAATAAACTTTATAATTTTCCTACTAATTTTGTAACAATTTTATTAATAAATTATTTATTAATTACATTAATTGTTATTGTAAAAATTACAAAATTATTTAAAGGACCTCTTCGTCTAATAAACTAATGAATAAACCTTTACGAACTTCACATCCTTTATTTAAAATTGCTAATAATGCTTTAGTTGATTTACCCGCACCTATTAATATCTCTTCATGATGAAATTTTGGATCCTTATTAGGGTTATGTTTAATTATTCAAATTTTAACAGGTTTATTTTTAGCTATACACTATACAGCTGATGTAAATATAGCATTTAATAGAGTTAACCATATTTGCCGAGACGTAAATTATGGATGATTATTACGAACTATACACGCTAATGGAGCCTCTTTCTTTTTTATTTGTATTTACTTACATGTAGGACGAGGAATTTACTATGGTTCTTATTTATTTACACCAACTTGAATAATTGGTGTAATTATTTTATTTTTAGTGATAGGAACTGCTTTTATAGGTTACGTTTTACCTTGAGGACAAATATCTTTTTGAGGAGCAACAGTTATTACAAATTTATTGTCTGCCGTTCCTTATCTCGGAATAGACTTAGTTCAATGAATTTGAGGAGGGTTCGCAGTTGATAACGCTACTTTAACACGATTTTTTACATTTCATTTTATTTTACCTTTTATTGTTTTAGCTATAACAATAATTCATTTATTATTTTTACACCAAACAGGATCAAATAACCCAATTGGGTTAAATTCAAATACAGATAAAATTCCATTTCACCCTTATTTTACATATAAGGATATTGTAGGATTTATTATTATAATTTTCGCTTTAATTTCTTTAATTTTGATTAACCCAAATTTATTAGGAGACCCTGATAATTTTATCCCAGCTAACCCTTTAGTAACTCCAGCTCATATCCAACCTGAATGATATTTTTTATTTGCTTACGCTATTTTACGATCAATTCCTAATAAATTAGGAGGAGTAATTGCCTTAGTTCTTTCTATTGCTATTTTAATAATTTTACCTTTTTATCATTTAAGTAAATTTCGAGGAATCCAATTTTACCCAATTAATCAAATTTTATTTTGAATTATAGTAGTCACAGTAATTTTATTAACTTGAATCGGAGCACGACCAGTTGAAGAACCTTATGTTTTAATTGGACAAATTTTAACCGTAATTTATTTTTTGTATTATTTAATTAACCCTCTTGTTAACAAATGATGAGATAATTTATTAAATTAAGTTAATGAGCTTGAATAAGCATATGTTTTGAAAACATAAGATAGAAATTTTATTTTCTATTAACTTTACTAATTATAATTCATAACAATAAAGAAAATAATAAAATTTTAAACCCAATAAAAAATATCAAATAATTTAAAGAAAATGATAAAAAACATTTTCAAGCTAAATATATTAATTTATCATAACGAAATCGAGGTAAAGTTCCACGAACTCAAATAAAAACAAAAGAAATAAATATTAATTTTAAATAAAAAATTAAATTAAAAACATCACACCCTAAAAAAATTACACAAAACAATATTCTTATAAATAAAATTCTTGCATACTCAGCCAAAAAAATTAACGCAAATCCTCCTCTTCTATATTCCACATTAAACCCTGAAACTAATTCAGATTCTCCTTCTGCAAAATCAAAAGGAGTTCGATTAGTTTCAGCCAAAGAAATAGTAAGTCAAACTAGTGCTATAGGAAATAAAATAAATAAAAATCAAATATAAATTTGGTAGTAATAAAAATACAAAAAATTATAACTTCCAATTAAAAAAATAAAAGATAATAAAATTAAAGCCAATCTAACTTCATAAGAAATAGTTTGAGCTACCGCCCGTAATCCTCCTAATAAAGCATAATTTGAATTAGAAGATCAACCAGCTACTATCACAGTATAAACTCCTAAACTTGTACAACATAAAAAAAATAACCCCCCCAAATTAAATGAATATAATTTAACAAAAAAAGGCATACATATTCATACAACTAAAGACAAAAATAATGATAAAATTGGAGAAATATAATATCTTAAATAATTTGATAACAAAGGGTAAGTTTGTTCTTTTGTAAATAATTTAATTGCATCACAAAAAGGTTGAGGAATTCCTATTAACCCAACTTTATTTGGTCCTTTTCGAATTTGAATATAACCTAAAACTTTACGTTCCAATAAAGTTAAAAAAGCTACTCTCACAAGAACACAAATAATAATTAATAAACTTCCAATTAAAGATATAACTAATTCTATATAAAACAAGTACTATTTGTAAATAATATTACATTAATAAATTCTAAATTTATTGCACTAATCTGCCAAAATAGCGTTATAATTAATAATATTCTTTTTTAAAAATATAATTATTTTAATATTTGGTCCTTTCGTACTAAAATATTAGAATTTTTTAAAGATAGAAACCAACCTGGCTTACGCCGGTTTGAACTCAGATCATGTAAGAATTTAAAAGTCGAACAGACTTAAAATTTGAACGGCTACACCCAAAATTATATCTTAATCCAACATCGAGGTCGCAATCTTTTTTATCGATAAGAACTCTCCAAAAAAATTACGCTGTTATCCCTAAAGTAACTTAATTTTTTAATCACTATTAATGGATCAATTGTTCATAAATTAATGATTTTTAAAAATTAAAAGTTTTTTAAATTTTAATATCACCCCAATAAAATATTTTAATTTATTATAATAAAAATAATCTTTATAATTAAAATAAATAAAATATAAAGATTTATAGGGTCTTCTCGTCTTTTAAATAAATTTTAGCTTTTTGACTAAAAAATAAAATTCTAAAAAAAATTAAAATGAAACAGTTAATATCTCGTCCAACCGTTCATTCCAGCCTTCAATTAAAAGACTAATGATTATGCTACCTTTGCACAGTTAAAATACTGCGGCCATTTAAAATTTCAGTGGGCAGGTTAGACTTTAAATTTAATTCAAAAAGACATGTTTTTGTTAAACAGGCGAATATTATTTTTGCCGAATTCTTTACATAAACTTTTCATTTTAATTTATTAATACAATAAAATATACTAATTTTATCATTATTACTTAATTTTAAAAATTAAAATTAATATTTCAATAAATAATTAAAATATAATAAATAATTTACTGTATAAAATAAATTATAACATAATTTTAAATATTTGCTAATTCTAAGCATATATTTATTAAATTTATTTATTATTTATAAAAATTTATTTTATAGCTTATCCCATAAAATATTAAATTTATAAATCATTAAATTAAAAAAATCTATTTAATAAATTTATAAATTCTGAATTAAATTCATTTCTTGAAAAACTAGATACCTTTAAAAACGAATAACATTTCATTTCTAATATAATATTAAAAATAATTTTATCACATTAACTTTTATATTATATTAACTCTTTTAAAATCGAGAAAAATATTTTTTATATTTTTTATTTAATAAACACTGATACACAAGGTACAATAAATTAAATTTTCTTTTAAAATAATAATTTTTCAAATTATTTCAATTTTCTTTTACAATACTATTAAACTATAATTAAATTTATTTTTTCTTTAAACAATACTAAAACTTTTTATTATAAAATTATTTTTAATATTTTACAAAAAAATTAATAAAATTAATAAATAAAATCTAATCAATTTATATTGATTTGCACAAAAATCTTTTCAATGTAAATGAAATGCTTTACTGAATAAGCTTTAAATTGTCATTCTAGATACACTTTCCAGTACATCTACTATGTTACGACTTATCTTACCTTAATAATAAGAGCGACGGGCGATGTGTACATATTTTAGAGCTAAAATCAAATTATTAATCTTTATAATTTTACAACCAAATCCACCTTCAAAAATTTTTTCATAATTTTATCCGTTTAAATAAATTTATTGTAACCCATTATTACTTAAACATAAGCTACACCTTGATCTGATATAAATTTTAATAAAAATTATTGAATATTATTATTCTTATAAAATATTCTGATAACGACGGTATATAAACTGGTTACAAATTTAAGTAAGGTCCATCGTGGATTATCGATTACAAAACAGGTTCCTCTGGATAGACTAAAATACCGCCAAATTTTTTAAGTTTCAAGAACATAACTATTACTACTTAAATATTAATATTTACATTTTAAATAATAGGGTATCTAATCCTAGTTTTTTATTAAAATTTGCAAGCTTCAATTATTTAATTTCTAAAAAATTTAAATTTAAAATTTCACTTAATAAATTTAATTATATTTAAAATAAACCAATTTAACTTTTACTAAAAAAATTCATTCGTATAATTGGTATAACCGCGATTGCTGGCACCAATTTTATCTATACTCTTTAATATTACTATATCTAAATTTCTTTAATTTATAATATTAATTACTGCGGTTATTAATAATTTATTAATTTTTAAAATTAATAAAATTTCACACAAAAATTTACATATAAATCAAATTAATAACAAATTTTTAAGCCAAAATAAAACTTTAATATATTTATTTAATTTATTATACTTTTTACAAAAATTATAAATTATTTTTATAAATAATTATTATTTATAAAATTAAAAATTGAATATAAATAAAAATTAAATAATTTTTATTAATTACTAAATCTGAAAATAAATATACCCCTTATATACATATATATATATACACATATATTTATTAATTAATTAATAAATTATTTAATTTTATAAAACACTATTTAAATTAATTAAAATAATTTTTTATAGTATTTTATTCTAAAAATTTAATTTATTTTAAAAAATTTTTATTAATCACTAAATCTGAATAAAAAATTATTTCCCCTTACAAATTAATAAATATTTATTTTATAAATTTATCAATTTATTAAAATATTTTTACTAATATATATATATATATTTCAACACATACTTATAAAAAATAATATATTTTAGTAAAATTTTTAAAAAAATAATTAAAAAATTTTAATAAATTGTAAAAATTACAAATTAATTCAAAAATTTCAAAAAATTAAATTTTTTATTTTTAAAACTTTATAAAAAATAATTAAAATTAATTTTTTTTTAAAAAAATTATATAATAGCAATAAAATAATTAAATTTAAATAAAAATAATAAACCAAAAAGTATAATAAATTATTAATAATTTATAGACTAACAAAAATCCTTTTTTTTTTTTTTTTTTTTTTTTAAATTTTTAAAAATATAGTTAAAAAGAAAACTAATTTATTTTAAAAAATTTTAAAATTTTTAAAAATTTTTTGTATACTAGTTCTAGATTAATAAATATCTATATATATATAAATATTTAATATATTATTATATGGTTAACATTTATAAAAAAAAATTTCGCAATCCAAAAATGCTTACATATTTAGTAAAAAAAATCTATATTTTAAAGATTTATCTAATAATTCTTTGGATTTATATAAATTTATATAAATATTATAAATTATTATATATTTATATATTTATATATTGTTGAAGATTTATATTATAATATATATCTATATAGAAATTTTTAATTATTTAATTTTAAAAAATACGAAAAAAAAAAACTACTAAAATGTGTTATTAAATTTTAAAAATTACTATATAAAAAAAAAAATTTTTTTAAAAAAAAAAAAAAAAAAAAAAAAAAAAAAAAAACTCTTTTAAAAATGAATTGCCTGATAAAAGGATTACCTTGATAGGGTAAATTATGTAGTATTCTACATTCATTGATACTTTTTGATGTATTTTTTAGAAAGGATTTATATCTAATAGAATTAAACTATTTCTAAAAGTATCAAAAACTTTTGTGCATCGTACACTAAAATATATAAATAAATATTAAAAATTAAATAAAAAGATAAGCTAATTAAGCTACTGGGTTCATACCCCATTTATAAAGGTTTTAATCCTTTTCTTTTTAATTTTTAATAATTCTTCAAAAATTTTATTTACTGCAATAATAATTATTGGAACTTTAATTACAGTAACTGCAAATTCTTGGTTAGGAGCTTGAATAGGTTTAGAAATTAATTTACTATCTTTTATCCCCCTTATAAGAGATAGAAATAATTTAAAATCTACTGAAGCTTCATTAAAATATTTTTTAACCCAAGCTTTAGCTTCTACAGTTTTATTGTTTTCTGTTATTTTATTAATATTAAAAAATAACATAAATTACGAAATTAGTAATTCTTTTATTTCTATAATTATTACATCAACTTTATTGTTAAAAAGAGGGTCAGCTCCGTTTCATTTTTGATTTCCAAATTTAATAGACGGATTAACGTGAATAAATGCTTTACTATTAATAACTTGACAAAAAATTGCACCTTTAATATTAATTTCTTATTTAAATACAAAAAATATTTTATTAATTAGAGTAATTTTGTCAGTCATTGTAGGGGCTATTGGTGGTTTAAACCAAACATCCCTACGAAAATTAATAGCTTATTCTTCTATTAACCATTTAGGATGAATATTAAGAGCATTAATATTAAATGAATCTGTTTGATTAATTTATTTTTTATTTTATTCTTTGCTATCATTTACATTAATTTTTATATTTAATATTTTTAAACTATTTCATTTAAATCAGTTATTTTCTTGGTATTCCTGTAATAAAATTTTAAAATTTGTTTTATTCACAAATTTTTTATCTTTAGGAGGATTACCCCCATTTTTAGGATTTTTGCCAAAATGAATTGTAATTCAACAACTAACTTTTTGTAATCAATATTTTCAATTATTAATTTTATTAGTAACAACATTAATTACACTATTTTTTTATCTACGAATATGTTACTCAGCATTTATACTAAATTATTACGAAATCGTTTGAATAAATAATTCACAAGTAAACAATTTTACTTTAAATTTATTTATATTACTATCATTTTTTTCAATTTTTGGTTTAATTTTTATTTCAATATTTTTTGCTATATTTTAAATTAAGGCTTTAAGTTAAATAAACTCATAGCCTTCAAAGCTGTAAATATAGGTATACCCTTTAAGCCTTAGTAAATTTTACACCTTCAAAATTGCAGTTTGATATCATTATTGACTATAAGACCATAATAATTTTGATTAAGAAGAATAACTCTTATAAATAGATTTACAATCTATCGCCTAAACTTCAGCCACTTAATCGCGACAATGGTTATTCTCAACAAATCACAAAGATATTGGAACTTTATATTTTATTTTCGGAGCTTGAGCTGGAATAGTGGGAACTTCTTTAAGAATTTTAATTCGTGCTGAATTAGGTCATCCAGGTGCACTAATTGGAGATGATCAAATTTATAATGTAATTGTCACAGCACACGCTTTTGTAATAATTTTTTTTATAGTAATACCTATTATAATTGGGGGATTTGGAAATTGACTAGTACCTTTAATACTTGGGGCCCCTGATATGGCATTCCCTCGAATAAATAATATAAGATTTTGACTTTTACCCCCAGCTTTAACTTTATTATTAGTAAGCAGTATAGTTGAAAACGGAGCTGGAACAGGGTGAACTGTCTACCCTCCGCTATCTTCAGGTATTGCCCACGGAGGAGCCTCAGTAGATTTAGCAATTTTTTCTTTACATTTAGCAGGGATTTCTTCTATTTTAGGTGCCGTAAATTTTATTACAACAGTAATTAACATACGATCAACTGGAATTACTCTTGACCGTATGCCTTTATTTGTGTGATCTGTTGTAATTACAGCTTTATTACTACTGTTATCATTACCTGTCTTAGCCGGGGCTATTACAATATTATTAACAGACCGAAATTTAAATACTTCATTTTTTGACCCCGCAGGAGGGGGAGACCCAATTCTTTACCAACATTTATTTTGATTTTTTGGGCACCCAGAAGTATATATTTTGATTTTACCAGGATTTGGAATAATTTCTCATATTATTAGTCAAGAATCAGGTAAAAAGGAAACATTTGGTTCTTTAGGAATAATTTATGCTATACTAGCAATTGGTTTATTAGGATTTATTGTATGAGCTCACCATATATTTACAGTTGGAATAGATGTAGACACACGAGCTTATTTTACATCAGCAACAATAATTATTGCCGTACCTACCGGGATTAAAATTTTTAGTTGATTAGCTACTCTTCACGGAACTCAACTTACATATTCCCCAGCTATTTTATGAGCATTAGGATTTGTATTTTTATTTACAGTTGGTGGATTAACTGGAGTAGTTTTAGCTAATTCTTCTGTTGATATTATTTTACATGACACTTATTATGTAGTAGCTCATTTTCACTATGTTTTATCAATAGGAGCAGTTTTCGCGATTATAGCAGGGTTTATTCATTGATACCCATTATTTACAGGATTAACTCTAAATTCTAAATGATTAAAAAGTCAATTTATTATTATATTTATTGGTGTAAATTTAACATTTTTCCCTCAACATTTTTTAGGATTAGCAGGAATGCCTCGACGATACTCAGATTACCCTGATGCTTATACAACATGAAATGTAATTTCTACTATTGGTTCATCAATTTCATTATTAGGAATTTTATTCTTTTTTTACATTATCTGGGAAAGTTTAGTATCTCAACGCCAAGTTATTTATCCAATTCAATTAAATTCATCAATTGAATGATACCAAAACACTCCCCCCGCTGAACACAGATACTCTGAATTACCTTTATTAACTAATTAATTTATCTAATATGGCAGATTAGTGCAATGGATTTAAGCTCCGTATATAAAGTATTTTACTTTTATTAGAATTTATTTAATGTCAACATGAGCTAATTTAGGTCTCCAAGATAGAGCTTCACCTTTAATAGAACAATTAATTTTTTTTCATGACCACGCTTTATTAATTTTAGTAATAATTACTGTTTTAGTAGGTTATTTAATATTTATACTATTTTTTAACAATTATGTAAATCGATTTTTGTTACATGGTCAATTAATTGAAATAATTTGAACTATTTTACCGGCAATTATTTTGTTATTTATTGCTTTTCCTTCTTTACGATTATTATACCTTTTAGATGAAATTAATGAACCTTCAGTAACTTTAAAAAGAATTGGTCACCAGTGATATTGAAGTTATGAATATTCAGATTTTAATAATATTGAATTTGATTCATATATAATCCCTACTAATGAATTATCAACTGATGGATTCCGTTTATTAGATGTAGATAACCGAATTGTTCTTCCTATAAATTCTCAAATTCGAATTTTAGTGACAGCCGCAGATGTAATTCATTCATGAACAATCCCAGCTTTAGGAGTAAAAGTTGATGGTACTCCAGGACGATTAAATCAAACTAATTTCTTTATAAATCGCCCAGGTTTATTTTATGGACAATGTTCAGAAATTTGCGGAGCAAATCACAGTTTTATACCTATTGTTATTGAAAGAGTACCTATTAATTATTTTATTAAATGAATTTCTAATAATTTAAATTCATCACAAGATGACTGAAAGCAAGTACTGGTCTCTTAAACCATTTTATAGTAAATTAGCAATTACTTCTTGTGAAAAAATTAGTTAAATATGTATAACATTAGTATGTCAAACTAAAATTATTAAATTATTAATATTTTTTAATCCCTCAAATAGCCCCAATTAGATGACTTTTACTATTTTTTATTTTTTCAATTACTTTTATTTTATTCTGTTCTTTAAACTATTACTCTTATCTTCCATCTTCCCCTAAATCTAATGAATTAAAAAATATTAAATTAAATTCAATAAATTGAAAATGATAACAAATTTATTTTCTGTATTTGACCCTTCTGCAATTTTTGGTTTATCATTAAATTGAATTAGAACATTTTTAGGAATTTTAATAATTCCTTCTATTTATTGACTTATGCCTTCTCGATATAATATTTTTTGAAATTCAATTCTTTTAACTCTTCACAAAGAATTTAAAACATTATTAGGACCCTCCGGCCACAACGGTTCAACATTTATTTTTATTTCTTTATTTTCACTTATTTTATTCAATAATTTTATAGGGTTATTTCCGTATATTTTCACAAGAACAAGACATTTAACTTTAACTTTATCTTTAGCTTTACCACTATGATTATCATTTATAGTATATGGATGAATTAACCACACACAGCACATATTCGCACATTTAGTTCCTCAAGGAACTCCTGCTATTTTAATACCTTTTATAGTATGTATTGAAACTATTAGAAATGTAATCCGACCAGGAACTTTAGCTGTTCGATTAACAGCAAATATAATTGCTGGACATCTTTTATTAACATTATTGGGTAATACAGGACCTTCAATATCATATATTTTAGTAACATTTTTATTAGTCGGCCAAATTGCCCTCTTAATTTTAGAATCAGCTGTAGCTATAATTCAATCATATGTATTTGCAGTTTTAAGAACTTTATACTCTAGAGAAGTTAATTAATTTTAAAATGTCTACACATTCAAATCACCCATTTCATCTTGTTGACTACAGCCCATGACCACTAACAGGAGCTATTGGAGCTATAACAACTGTTTCAGGAATAGTAAAATGATTCCATCAATATGATACATCATTATTTTTATTAGGTAATATTATCACAATTCTCACTGTTTATCAATGATGACGAGATGTATCACGAGAAGGAACATACCAAGGATTACATACTTACGCTGTTACTATTGGGTTACGATGAGGAATAATTTTATTTATTTTATCAGAAGTTTTATTTTTTGTAAGTTTTTTTTGAGCATTTTTTCACAGAAGTTTATCCCCAGCTATTGAATTAGGAGCCTCATGACCTCCTATAGGAATTGTTTCATTTAATCCTTTCCAAATTCCTTTATTAAACACAGCAATTTTGTTAACATCAGGAGTTACTGTCACATGAGCTCATCATAGTTTAATAGAAGGTAATCATTCACAAACTACTCAAGGTTTATTTTTTACAGTATTATTAGGAATTTATTTTACAATTTTACAAGCGTATGAATATATTGAAGCTCCTTTTACAATTGCCGATTCTGTTTATGGCTCAACATTTTTTATAGCAACTGGATTTCACGGAATCCATGTTTTAATTGGAACAACTTTCTTATTAATTTGTTTATTACGGCATTTAAATAATCATTTTTCAAAAAATCACCATTTTGGATTTGAAGCAGCTGCTTGATATTGACATTTTGTTGATGTTGTGTGATTATTTTTATATATCACAATTTACTGATGAGGAGGATAATTAAACTTTAATTATCTATATAGTATAAAAGTATATTTGACTTCCAATCATAAGGTCTATTAATAATAGTATAGATAATTTTTTCAATTATTTTAACCGCAACAATTATCATAATAATTTCATTTATTGTCATACTATTAGCTTCAATTTTATCAAAAAAACTTTAGTTGATCGAGAAAAAAGCTCTCCTTTTGAATGTGGATTTGACCCAAAATCATCATCACGTCTACCTTTTTCTTTACGATTTTTTTTAATCACAATTATTTTTTTAATTTTTGATGTAGAAATTGCTTTAATTTTACCAATAATTATTATTTTTAAATTTTCAAACTTATTAATTTGAACTACAACTTCAATTATTTTTATTTTAATTCTATTAATTGGACTCTACCATGAATGAAATCAAGGTATATTAAATTGATCAAATTAATAAAGGGTTGTAGTTAAGTATAACATTTGATTTGCATTCAAAAAGTATTGAATTATTCAATCTACCTTATTAAAGAATATGAAGCGATTTATTGCAATTAGTTTCGACCTAATTTTAGGTAATTATACCCTTATTCTTTAATTGAAGCCAAAAAGAGGCTTATCACTGTTAATGATAAAATTGAGAACTATCTCCAATTAAGGAAGTGTGGTGTTCAAGTAAAAGCTGCTAACTTTTTTCTTTTAATGGTTAAATTCCATTTACACTTCTATTTATATAGTTTAAAACAAAACATTACATTTTCATTGTAAAAATAAATTTCTTTATTTTATAAATTACTAATAACAATTCATAGAATGTTCAAAGATTAAAAAATCTCCATAACATCTTCAGTGTTATACTCTAAATATAAGCTATTTGAACTTATAAAAGAATTAAAAATCTTAATAAAATTAAAATTCATAACACAAATAATATCAAATAAATTTTTAATCTATTATTATAGCTTTAACTTTATTATTAGTAAGCAGTATAGTTGAAAACGGAGCTGGAACAGGGTGAACTGTCTACCCTCCGCTATCTTCAGGTATTGCCCACGGAGGAGCCTCAGTAGATTTAGCAATTTTTTCTTTACATTTAGCAGGGATTTCTTCTATTTTAGGTGCCGTAAATTTTATTACAACAGTAATTAACATACGATCAACTGGAATTACTCTTGACCGTATGCCTTTATTTGTGTGATCTGTTGTAATTACAGCTTTATTACTACTGTTATCATTACCTGTCTTAGCCGGGGCTATTACAATATTATTAACAGACCGAAATTTAAATACTTCATTTTTTGACCCCGCAGGAGGGGGAGACCCAATTCTTTACCAACATTTATTTTGATTTTTTGGGCACCCAGAAGTATATATTTTGATTTTACCAGGATTTGGAATAATTTCTCATATTATTAGTCAAGAATCAGGTAAAAAGGAAACATTTGGTTCTTTAGGAATAATTTATGCTATACTAGCAATTGGTTTATTAGGATTTATTGTATGAGCTCACCATATATTTACAGTTGGAATAGATGTAGACACACGAGCTTATTTTACATCAGCAACAATAATTATTGCCGTACCTACCGGGATTAAAATTTTTAGTTGATTAGCTACTCTTCACGGAACTCAACTTACATATTCCCCAGCTATTTTATGAGCATTAGGATTTGTATTTTTATTTACAGTTGGTGGATTAACTGGAGTAGTTTTAGCTAATTCTTCTGTTGATATTATTTTACATGACACTTATTATGTAGTAGCTCATTTTCACTATGTTTTATCAATAGGAGCAGTTTTCGCGATTATAGCAGGGTTTATTCATTGATACCCATTATTTACAGGATTAACTCTAAATTCTAAATGATTAAAAAGTCAATTTATTATTATATTTATTGGTGTAAATTTAACATTTTTCCCTCAACATTTTTTAGGATTAGCAGGAATGCCTCGACGATACTCAGATTACCCTGATGCTTATACAACATGAAATGTAATTTCTACTATTGGTTCATCAATTTCATTATTAGGAATTTTATTCTTTTTTTACATTATCTGGGAAAGTTTAGTATCTCAACGCCAAGTTATTTATCCAATTCAATTAAATTCATCAATTGAATGATACCAAAACACTCCCCCCGCTGAACACAGATACTCTGAATTACCTTTATTAACTAATTAATTTATCTAATATGGCAGATTAGTGCAATGGATTTAAGCTCCGTATATAAAGTATTTTACTTTTATTAGAATTTATTTAATGTCAACATGAGCTAATTTAGGTCTCCAAGATAGAGCTTCACCTTTAATAGAACAATTAATTTTTTTTCATGACCACGCTTTATTAATTTTAGTAATAATTACTGTTTTAGTAGGTTATTTAATATTTATACTATTTTTTAACAATTATGTAAATCGATTTTTGTTACATGGTCAATTAATTGAAATAATTTGAACTATTTTACCGGCAATTATTTTGTTATTTATTGCTTTTCCTTCTTTACGATTATTATACCTTTTAGATGAAATTAATGAACCTTCAGTAACTTTAAAAAGAATTGGTCACCAGTGATATTGAAGTTATGAATATTCAGATTTTAATAATATTGAATTTGATTCATATATAATCCCTACTAATGAATTATCAACTGATGGATTCCGTTTATTAGATGTAGATAACCGAATTGTTCTTCCTATAAATTCTCAAATTCGAATTTTAGTGACAGCCGCAGATGTAATTCATTCATGAACAATCCCAGCTTTAGGAGTAAAAGTTGATGGTACTCCAGGACGATTAAATCAAACTAATTTCTTTATAAATCGCCCAGGTTTATTTTATGGACAATGTTCAGAAATTTGCGGAGCAAATCACAGTTTTATACCTATTGTTATTGAAAGAGTACCTATTAATTATTTTATTAAATGAATTTCTAATAATTTAAATTCATCACAAGATGACTGAAAGCAAGTACTGGTCTCTTAAACCATTTTATAGTAAATTAGCAATTACTTCTTGTGAAAAAATTAGTTAAATATGTATAACATTAGTATGTCAAACTAAAATTATTAAATTATTAATATTTTTTAATCCCTCAAATAGCCCCAATTAGATGACTTTTACTATTTTTTATTTTTTCAATTACTTTTATTTTATTCTGTTCTTTAAACTATTACTCTTATCTTCCATCTTCCCCTAAATCTAATGAATTAAAAAATATTAAATTAAATTCAATAAATTGAAAATGATAACAAATTTATTTTCTGTATTTGACCCTTCTGCAATTTTTGGTTTATCATTAAATTGAATTAGAACATTTTTAGGAATTTTAATAATTCCTTCTATTTATTGACTTATGCCTTCTCGATATAATATTTTTTGAAATTCAATTCTTTTAACTCTTCACAAAGAATTTAAAACATTATTAGGACCCTCCGGCCACAACGGTTCAACATTTATTTTTATTTCTTTATTTTCACTTATTTTATTCAATAATTTTATAGGGTTATTTCCGTATATTTTCACAAGAACAAGACATTTAACTTTAACTTTATCTTTAGCTTTACCACTATGATTATCATTTATAGTATATGGATGAATTAACCACACACAGCACATATTCGCACATTTAGTTCCTCAAGGAACTCCTGCTATTTTAATACCTTTTATAGTATGTATTGAAACTATTAGAAATGTAATCCGACCAGGAACTTTAGCTGTTCGATTAACAGCAAATATAATTGCTGGACATCTTTTATTAACATTATTGGGTAATACAGGACCTTCAATATCATATATTTTAGTAACATTTTTATTAGTCGGCCAAATTGCCCTCTTAATTTTAGAATCAGCTGTAGCTATAATTCAATCATATGTATTTGCAGTTTTAAGAACTTTATACTCTAGAGAAGTTAATTAATTTTAAAATGTCTACACATTCAAATCACCCATTTCATCTTGTTGACTACAGCCCATGACCACTAACAGGAGCTATTGGAGCTATAACAACTGTTTCAGGAATAGTAAAATGATTCCATCAATATGATACATCATTATTTTTATTAGGTAATATTATCACAATTCTCACTGTTTATCAATGATGACGAGATGTATCACGAGAAGGAACATACCAAGGATTACATACTTACGCTGTTACTATTGGGTTACGATGAGGAATAATTTTATTTATTTTATCAGAAGTTTTATTTTTTGTAAGTTTTTTTTTGAGCATTTTTTCACAGAAGTTTATCCCCAGCTATTGAATTAGGAGCCTCATGACCTCCTATAGGAATTGTTTCATTTAATCCTTTCCAAATTCCTTTATTAAACACAGCAATTTTGTTAACATCAGGAGTTACTGTCACATGAGCTCATCATAGTTTAATAGAAGGTAATCATTCACAAACTACTCAAGGTTTATTTTTTACAGTATTATTAGGAATTTATTTTACAATTTTACAAGCGTATGAATATATTGAAGCTCCTTTTACAATTGCCGATTCTGTTTATGGCTCAACATTTTTTATAGCAACTGGATTTCACGGAATCCATGTTTTAATTGGAACAACTTTCTTATTAATTTGTTTATTACGGCATTTAAATAATCATTTTTCAAAAAATCACCATTTTGGATTTGAAGCAGCTGCTTGATATTGACATTTTGTTGATGTTGTGTGATTATTTTTATATATCACAATTTACTGATGAGGAGGATAATTAAACTTTAATTATCTATATAGTATAAAAGTATATTTGACTTCCAATCATAAGGTCTATTAATAATAGTATAGATAATTTTTTCAATTATTTTAACCGCAACAATTATCATAATAATTTCATTTATTGTCATACTATTAGCTTCAATTTTATCAAAAAAAACTTTAGTTGATCGAGAAAAAAGCTCTCCTTTTGAATGTGGATTTGACCCAAAATCATCATCACGTCTACCTTTTTCTTTACGATTTTTTTTAATCACAATTATTTTTTTAATTTTTGATGTAGAAATTGCTTTAATTTTACCAATAATTATTATTTTTAAATTTTCAAACTTATTAATTTGAACTACAACTTCAATTATTTTTATTTTAATTCTATTAATTGGACTCTACCATGAATGAAATCAAGGTATATTAAATTGATCAAATTAATAAAGGGTTGTAGTTAAGTATAACATTTGATTTGCATTCAAAAAGTATTGAATTATTCAATCTACCTTATTAAAGAATATGAAGCGATTTATTGCAATTAGTTTCGACCTAATTTTAGGTAATTATACCCTTATTCTTTAATTGAAGCCAAAAAGAGGCTTATCACTGTTAATGATAAAATTGAGAACTATCTCCAATTAAGGAAGTGTGGTGTTCAAGTAAAAGCTGCTAACTTTTTTCTTTTAATGGTTAAATTCCATTTACACTTCTATTTATATAGTTTAAAACAAAACATTACATTTTCATTGTAAAAATAAATTTCTTTATTTTATAAATTACTAATAACAATTCATAGAATGTTCAAAGATTAAAAAATCTCCATAACATCTTCAGTGTTATACTCTAAATATAAGCTATTTGAACTTATAAAAGAATTAAAAATCTTAATAAAATTAAAATTCATAACACAAATAATATCAAATAAATTTTTAATCTATTATTATGTATTAAAAGTAATATTTGTGAATAATTTACTAACTTTTTGTATAAATATTGCCCCCCAAAATATTCTGACCAACCTTGATCAAAACTTTTATAAACAACTTGACCATAATTTAAAGGAAAACAAATAATACCATAAGTTCTAATAAAAGGTATAAATCATATTGAACCTATAAAAACTGACAAGTTATAAAATTTATGAGATTTATTTACTCTATACAAATTTCTTAAAGAAATTATATAACCAATTAACCCTCCTGAAATACAAACAAACAAAGTTAATATTTTTATATTAATAGGTAAACAAACTATATCTGGGGTAGAAAAAATTAATCAATTTAATATACTTCCTCCAATAATTCTTATAAATAATAACCCCAATATACCTCGTAATATAATTCAACCTTCATCATTTAATATATTTAATCTTCTACAATTTAAATCTCCAGTTATTGAATAAAAAACTAAACGAAAAGAATAACACACTGTTAAACCAGTAAAAAAAGTATAAAAAAAAAGAAAATATATTAATATTTCTTATTCTTACAATTTCTAAAATTAAATCTTTCGAATAAAATCCGGCTAAAAATGGTATACCACAAAGAGCTAAATTTGAAACATTAAAACAAGCAGAAGTTAATGGTATATGAATTCTTAACCCCCCCATTAATCGAATATCTTGCGAATTATTTATATTATGAATAATAGCCCCTGCACATATAAATAATAATGCTTTAAATAAAGCGTGAGTTAATAAATGAAATATAGCTAATTTATAAAAACCTATTGATAAAATTCTTATTATTAAACCTAATTGTCTTAATGTTGATAAAGCAATAATTTTTTTTAAATCAAATTCAAAATTAGCCCCCAAACCAGCTATAAATATTGTTAACCCCGATAATAAAAGCAAAAATTGACCTAATAATGAATTTCTTAATAAAATATTAAATCGAATTAATAAATAAACCCCAGCTGTAACTAAAGTAGACGAATGAACTAAAGCAGAAACAGGAGTTGGAGCAGCTATCGCAGCGGGTAATCATGAAGAAAATGGAATTTGTGCTCTCTTAGTTATAGCAGCTAATATAACTAAAACACCAATAATATTTATTTCAAATTCATTTTGCATAATTTCTAAATAAAAATATAGTTTCATCTCCCATAATTTAATATTCATGCAATTGCTAATAATAAAGCTACATCTCCAATTCGATTAGACAAAGCAGTTAATATACCAGCATTATAAGATTTAATATTTTGAAAATAAATAACTAAACAATAAGAAACAAGACCTAAACCATCTCATCCTAATAGAATACTAATTAAATTAGGACTAATAATTAATAATATTATAGATATAACAAATATTAAAACTAATATAATAAAACGATTAATATTAATATCAGCTCTTATATATTCTTTTCTGTAATAAATTACTAAAGAAGCAATTATTAAAACAAATGATATAAATAGTAAACTTATTCAATCAAATAAAAAAGTTATAACAATTGAAATCGAATTTAATGAAACTAACTCT